GTCCTTCATAGCATGACGCAACACAGGGAAGGGTCAGATATAATAATGATAATGGCTAATACACTTGCCTGGAACTTTAAGGTTAGCAAAGTACTTTCCATAGATTTTTTCATTTGATGTTTACAACCACCATGGAATATATTTGCTATTATCATCCCCATTTGGTTTTTGGCCAAATCCTAGAAAACTCTATTGACAGGATGGTTTGTGGTCTCTCAGAAAGGGCAGCATAGATCTCGGTGGCACAACACGGGTTTGGCAGGAACAGGTCGTCACAGTGTAAGCTCGTTGTCTTTCTGGGCAGAGTAGCTAGTCTGGTAGATGCCTGCGTGCCTGACAGAGTGAAAATCCAGATTTCTCTAAGACAAGTCTCTCCTGTTAGCCTTGAACACGATAAAGACATAAGCAGGACAAGGATTTGGAACTCATGGAACAAAGTCCTCAAAGTGTAATGATTACTGGCACGATGCCAGATTGAAGGGAGGTCTTTAGGGGAGTGCTCCTGGGCTCTGCCTTTGGCATGCTTCTGGTTAACACTTAAATCGGTGCTATTCAGGTGAAGGTGAGCTCATTACTGCTCAGGATGACCGCAGGAGGGAGGCACTGCTGGGATCATTCTCTTCATTTTACAGATTACACTACTGAGTCTCAGAGAGCTGCACAATGAGGCCCTGCTCCTGTAGCCTTGCCCTGTCATGCACCTCACAGGTGTGAGAGGAGGGACGAGAGTGTGGCTCTGACATGCTCTGGGTCAAGCACTCCACAGAGGCTCACAGAGCTCGGGCCAGTCACTTCTTTGAATGCCTTGGTTTCCTCAACTGTAAAAAAGGAAATCATAATAGTACAGCAGAAGCCATCCCAGAGTGGAGCGGGCTGCCCAAGGAAGACAGTGGGCTCCCTCCACGGAGACCCTGAGCAGAGGCTTCATGACCATTTGTCCAAAAAAGAGCCTTCTTGTGCAGGAAAAGGTCAGACTGAAATTCTGGTGGTTCCCTCATTTTGCTTTCCCCTCTTTCCTCCATGGCTGCAGTCAGGACATCTGGGTTCAAATCCTGTCTCTGCCACTTCCTGCCTATATGACCTTGGACAAGTCACTTCAGCTCTGCCTCAGTTTCCTCATCTGGAAAGTGAGGTAATTGAGCTAGATGGCTTCTGAGGTCCCTTCCAGCTCTGTGACCCTCAGCAGGCGGGGGTGGTGTCATGTTAATCACTGGATCCTCCATGACGCCAAGTCAAGGCCTCGACCCACAGTCAGAGCTCAGCCTTTAGTAGCTCTCAGAGTTCAATCTCGGACCCTCCTGTCACCATAGTTACTGCCCGCCCGCCCCTTCCTCACCTGCTCTTCACTCTTCAGCCCTCAGCTGTTGGCTCCCGCGTCTGCCTGGCATCTGAAACCCTTCCCTTCAAGTTCAAGAGCAAGCCAGTGCCAAATTGGACGCCATCGAAGCCCTTGTTCTGCTCCACCCACCAGCCACATGTGTGTGTATACAGACGTACATGCACATATTTTTACAAATATGTGTGTATATATGTATATATCTGCACACACACATATAATCTGTTGTTCTATCGTTCAGTAGTGTTTGACTCTTCATGATCCCATGGACTATACTGTTTATGAGGTTTTCTTGGTGAATCTACTGGAGCGGTTTGCCATTTCCTTCTCCAGTGGATTAAGGCAAACAGAGGTTAAGTGACTTGCCCAGGGTCACACAGCTAGAGAGTGTCTGAGGCCAGATTTGAACTCAAGTCTCCCTGACTTCAGGCCCAGAACTCTATTCATTGATTCACCTAGCTGCCCCTCTCTCTCTCTCTCTCTCTCTCTCTCTCTCTCTCTCTCTCTCCCTCCCTCCCTCTCTCTCTCTCTCTCTCAATAAATAGAGCTATGGACACTACTCAATATATTCCTCCTCCTATAACAACAATAACAAAAAGACAGTTAAGGAAAAATTATGGATACTGTGACCACATCTCATGTTATGTACAACATTCTGTTCCCATAGTCCCCTGCCTCCTTCCTAAGACGATGAAAGTGGGCAACTGTTCCATCATCTGTCTACCGGGATTAGCCCTAGTCATCTTTGCTGACTTTTTGTCCCCCCCACTCTTTCTCCATATCCTTCCTTGGCCCACTTCCCTCCCCTACTCTCCTCTCCTCTCTTCTTTTCTCCCTCTCTCCTCTCCCTCTCCTCTCCTCTCCCCTCTCCTCCTCTCCTCTCCCCTCCCCTCCCCTCCTGTCCTCTCCTCTCCTCTCTAGGCAAACTCTTTGTAGAAGATGTGCTACTGTCTCACCTCCTAAAAGGAGGCAGTGTGTGGAAGAAGAAAGGGTTGGGATTTCAGCTGCTGGGGGTAGGGTCACTTCTTGGCTTAGGACCAAAGGGAAGACCTTTCTTTTTTTTAAATTTTATCTATCTATCTATCTATCTATCTATCTATCTATCTATCTATCTAT